GGTAGATCCTGCTTAACGAATCTACTTGAGTTCTTTGAGGAAGCTACAAGTGAAATTGATCTCAAAAAGGCCTATGATGTGATCTACTTAGATTTCCAGAAGGCCTTTGATGTTGTCCCCCACAAACGGCTCTTGCATACCCTCGAAGCAGTAGGGATTTTAGGAACTGTGGCAGCTTGGATTGAAAACTGGCTAACAGACAGGAAGCAGCAAGTAGTTATTAGAGGCACAATGTCACAGTGGACTTGTGTTCATAGTGGGGTACCGCAGGGTTAAATTTTAGGACCACTATTGTTCCTAATTTGCATTAATGATATTGACACCAATATATACAGTAAACTGGTTAAATCTGCAGACGACACTAAGTTGGGTGGTGTAGCAGATACTGAACTAGCGACACAGAGGCTACAGCAGAATTTTGACTTAATTAGTAACTGGGCTGATACCTGGCAGATGAAATTTAACATAGATAAATGTAAGGTAATCCATGCAGGGAGCAGAAATATAAAGTACAAGTATTTTATGTGTTCCACTGAAATAAAGGTAGCTGATAATGAGAAAGACCTTGGTGTGTATGTTGATGCTTCCATGTCTCATTCTCGCCAGTGTGGGGAAACAACTAAAAAGGCCAATAGGATGTTGGGTTGCATCTCTTGGTGTGTGGAGTTTAAGTCAAGGGAGGTGATGCTAAGATTATACAATTCCTTGGTAAGACTCCACCTAGAATACTGTGCGCAGGTTTGGTCACCTTACTTTGAAAATGACATTGCTGCCTTAGAAAGGGTTCAACGTAGGACTACAAGAATGATTCCTGGTCTTAGAGGAATGTCTTATGAGGAGAGTTTAGCTGAGCTGAATCTGTTTAGCCTCGAGCAAAGGAGATTAAGGGGGGACAGGATCCAATATATAAGATTCTAACAGGTGTGGATGCTGTTCAACCAAATACTGATTTTGAACCGGATTTCAGAAAGCACCCCTTTAAACAGTTTGTAGTTAGAGTATGGAATAGTCTTCTTGTTAATGTAATGCAAGCTAAAACCTTGGGTCCCTTTAAATCAGAGCTAGATAAGATTTTAACAACTCTCAGGTATTAATTGAGATCTCCCGAAATGAGCTCGATGAGCCGAATGGCCTCCGCTTGTTTGTAAATTTCTTTTGTTTTTATGCACTGTAAAGCCTGCAGTCAGCACCTCTACTTTGGCCAGGAGCAGCATGGACCATGACAGCTGTATCCACACTGTATGTAAGTGTCCCCAGGGAGCTCAGAAAACCTGGAGACAGGGTGGGGGGCTGACAAAAGAATAATGAGGGTGCTGAGGCCAGACCCCAGCAGGGAAGCTCTGCTACCCACTTCCAGCAATCCCTCACATGGGTTGGACAGGATCAGATCCAGAAGAAACTTCAGGCAAGCTCAGGATATACAAGCCATCGTCTGTGGCTACAGCCTACAAACAATCCTTCTATACAGCAAACTGTTTGTTAATCACACTATGACTACATTCCCTGAGTCCGCTCATGTCACTTTAGTTGTCCTCATTGACTGGAATGGCCTCTACCCTGTATGGACCCGCTGGTGCTTCTTTAGGGCTCCAACTTGAGTGAAGCTCTTCTCACACTGGGAGCACTGGTAGGGCCTCTCCCCTGTGTGAATCCGCTGGTGGATTTTTAGGGTTCCTAGTTGACTGAAGTTCTTCGTACAGTGGGAGCACTGGTAGGGCCTCTCCCCTGTGTGAATCCGTTGATGGATCTTGAGAGTTCCTACTTGACTGAAGTTCTTCTTACAGTGAGAACATTGGTAGGGTCTCTCCCCTGTGTGAATCCGCTGGTGTTCCTTTAGTTTTCCTAAAACACTGAAGCTGTTCCCACACTGAGAGCACTGGTAGGGCCTCTCCCCTGTGTGAATTCGCTGGTGCTTCTTTAGGTTTGTTAAATGAATGAAGCTCTTCCCACACTGGGAGCACTGGTAGGGTCTCTCCCCTGTGTGAATCCGCTGGTGGTCCTTTAGGTTTCCTAAGTGAATGAAGCTCTTCCCACACTGGGAACACTGGTAGGGCCTCTCCCCTGTATGAATCTTCTGATGCTTCTTTAGTTTTTCTAAGGCACTGAAGCTCTTCTCACACTGGGAGCAGGGGTACAGTTTCTCTCCAGTGTGAGTTTGCTCATGAACCTTCAGGGCTCGTAAATACCTGAAGCTGATCCCACATTGGGAGCACTGGTAGGGCCTCTCCCCAGTGTGAATCCTCTGGTGCTTCTTTAGGACTCCTGCTTGAGTAAAGCTCTTCCCACACTGGGAGCACTGGTAGGGTCTCTCCCCTGTGTGAATCCGCTGGTGATTCTTTAGGCTTGCTACATGAGTGAAGCACTTCCCACACTGGGAGCACTGGTAGGGCTTCTCCCCTGTGTGAATCCGCTGGTGCTTTTTCAGGTTTCCTAAATCACTGAAGTCCTTCCCACACTGGGAGCACTGGTAGGGCCTCTCCCCTGTGTGAATCCGCTGATGGATCTTTAGGCCTCCTACTTGACTAAAGTTCTTCTTACAGTGGGGACACTGGTAGGGCCTCTCCCCTGTGTGAGTCCGCAGGTGGATTTTTAGGGCTCCTACTTGACTGAAGTTCTTCTTACAGTGGGAACACTGGTAGGACCTCTCCCCTGTGTGAGTCCGCAGGTGGATTTTTAGGGCTCCTACTTGACTGAAGTTCTTCTTACAGTGGGAACACTGGTAGGACCTCTCCCCTGCATGAATCTGCTGGTGTTCTT